TGGCCAGTTAATAACGTCTTTTTTATTTTTTCTCACATTTTAGATAAAGTTTAAAGTAATGTTTACCCAATTTTAACCAATATAAAAGATAATTAGACATAAATATATTAAAGATGTGTAATGAAAAATTTTCTTTTACTTATTGCTTTAATTTTTTCTTTTGCATTCGAGGCTGCTGCTACTACTCCTGAACTTGATGCAACATCAATAGTAATATGTGCAATAGTAAACTATTCACATACGATCGGTGGGCCAATCATGACGGTGGTGATTATCGGTGCAGCACTGCTTGCAGTGTTTGGCAGAATGCCGTGGCCAGCACTTGTTGCATTGGGTATATTCACTGGTGCGTTTTTTGGTGCACCTGCAATTGTAAAGGTTATTGCACCAGATACATCACAATCTTGTAAATGTCCTGAAGGTAAAACACTGAAAAACGGAGTATGTACGTAGGTTAGGTCATGTGAACAACACACCTTTTGCAAAACTAAGTTCTGATGGCAATCAGAACTTACCTACTTCTTAAATATATCCTGCTGCACTCACACGCGCTTCTCCATCATTATTTGCAGTCATCCAACATTAAAAAAATAACTTAAATTGATAAAACTTAAAATAATATTTACCTAATTTTAAACAATGTAGAAGATAATACAGCATAAATATATTAGAGGTATTAATGAAAAATTTTCTTTTACTTGTTGCTTTAATTTTTGCATTTGCATTCGAGGCTGCTGCTCTTGATGAAACATCAACGGTAATATGTGCAATAGTAAACTATTCACATAAGATCGGTGGGCCAATCATGACGGTGGTGATTATCGGTGCAGCACTGCTTGCAGTATTTGGCAGAATGCCATGGCCGGCACTTGTTGCATTAGGTATATTTACTGGTGCATTTTTTGGTGCACCTGCAATTATAAAGGTTATTGCACCAAGTACTGACCATTGTGTCACAAAAGCAGAACAACCAACACCTTGTCCTAAAGGCAAAACAAAGAATGCACAAGGAATATGTGTGTAGGTTAGGTCATGTGAAAACACACCTATTTGCAAAACCAAGTTCTGATTGCCATCAGAACTTGCCTACACTCCTTTCTGCGGTGCTCACACGCGTTTCTTCGTCATCATTTGCAGTAGTTCAATATTTAAAAAAATAACTTAAGTTAATAAAATTTGAAGTAATATTTACCTAATTTTAACCAATGTAAAAGATAATCTGGAATAAATATATTAGAGGTGTGTAATGAAAAACTTTCTTTTACTTGTTGCTTTAATTTTTTCTTTTGCATTCGAGGCTACTGCTGCTCTTGATGAAACATCAACGGTAATATGTGCAATAGTAACCTATTCACATAGTATAGGTGGACCGATTATGACGGTAGTGATTATCGGCGCAGCACTGCTTGCAGTATTTGGCAGAATGCCGTGGCCGGCACTTGTTGCATTGGGTATATTCACTGGTGCGTTTTTTGGTGCACCTGCAATTGTAAAGGCTATTGCACCAGGTGCTGCACAGTGTCCCGAAAAAGCAGACACAACAAAGACGTGTCCTGAAAATCAACATTGGGATAATACAACGAGAGCATGTAAAGCTAATGCTTAACCAAATCTAAAAGCTCAGGCACTTCTATTTAGAAGTGCCTA